TTTAAGTTTAAAAAATTACCTATTTCTATCAAACAATTCAAAACTAAGAAAAAAAGGAGAAAAGGAGAGGTCCATATATCCCATAATTCCGTTAATCCTTTCATATTCCAAAAATCCCTCTCAAATATTATGATGCCGATGGGTGAGATCTCAATTTGGAAGGGAAGGAAATCAATGTGCCGACCCACTAATCAATCATCAGCCCTTCCTGTCCCCCCCCAAGGGCTCTCGTATCAATTTCGCGCTGCCCATTTTCAGCGTTTCTGCTTTTCCAAATCAGGCCCCGCGGGCTAGACGGCTGCAGCGGGGGTTGCAATTCGTAGTGATAGGCTAATTTCTAATAGGCTATTATCTAATTTTGTTTTTAGTTTTATTCCTCTATTTATTCGATTTCTTACGGTAGCCTCCACAACGCCCTGTTGATTTTCTTGTGGTAATCCCAGAGGCCCGAAAGTTACGATTTTCACATGTTTTTACACTTTGTAGCCTCAGCTAAATCAATTCGTTTCAAGCCAATCCTGAAAAAATCAGCAAAGAAAGCTTTGGTCGCAAATGATCTCTGCTAGCCTGTCCAGCTAAACGTTCTCTGTAGCCTCTGGAATTTACTACGTTTCTACATCTCGCAATGTGGCCTTCTACCTCTCTCTCTTTCTCTCTCTCTCTCTCTCTCTCTCTCTCTCTAATCGAATGGTCAAGGGATTAATCCCCATCAAAAACCTATTCGACTAAAGCTCAAGCCCGCCGCCCCGGCGTCACCCCACGGCCTTAGATAGCGGCGGTTTTTGAAGAGCAAAGTGAGGTGGCAGGAAATTAGCTGAACCAATTTCGAATTATAGATTTTATTGAAATGGCTATATCAGGCTTTGAAATCTTAAAGAAATGTAAGTTTATAAATACCCTCCTCTTGCCCTCACAGTCTCCTTAATCGACCCTATCAGGAGGCCCACCTGTTTCCCGACCGTTCGTCGAAAATCCTCCATCTGATGGACCGTTTTTATTTGTTTTCCGGTTGTCTGTGGGCATGATGATGATGGAAGCGAGAGAAAGAGAGAGAGAGAGAGAGAGAGAGAGAGAGAGAGAGAGCGAGAGAGAGCTGGAGGGAAAAGCTGTGATTGTGTTTTTGTATTGATGAATGACCCAGAGGCCCGCGTCAACAATACATATATACAATTGATGCCCTCCTCACGTCAGAGGGAAGGCCCATCTGTGTCTCGCTGTCTCTCTCTCGCTCTCGCTCGCTCTCTCTCTCTCTCTCTCTCTCTCTCTTTCAATTTCTGTCTCCCATTCACTCTAGATATGTCTCACTATTTCACGTTTTCCAGCTCTCCTGCCTCTCTCTCTCTCTCTCTCTCTCTCTCTCTCTCTCTCTCTCTCTCTCTCCCTCTCTCTCCCTCCCTGTCTCACTCCGACTCTCTCTTGTCTCGTTCTTGTCTCTCCATATTGTCTCTCGCTTTGAGATCTGCTACAAAATTTCATCCGATAAAATCGCCTTTCTTGCCCGATTAAGCTAGCACCCAAAATTTCATCCTTTTTTGTCAAGGTCTCCGATCAAAATTTGACCGTCGTTTTGGTGGTAGTATCAAGCGCCGAGTTTCAAGTTTTGCGCCGCCTCCCCCACTCAACCATACAATATCCGGTCGCGGATTAAAATGTGGAAACTTCCCACTCGCGCACGGTTCTTACCATCCCCACAGCCATTGTGGGCCTGTTGGGGGGCACGCTATAGAAAAGCACCCATCCGACACTACCCCCGCCCCGGTTGACGTCGATTGCCTCCCCTTCTTCTTCTTCGTCTGCTTCTTCGGCTTCTTCGGGTGATACGGTTCATGGGGCACGGTTTAAGGGGTGAAGGAAGCGCGGGGGTGCAAACGGATTGACTCGATGGTCTCGATACGACACACTCGGCAATACCCCCCATACACACACATCATCTAAACAGTTTGGTGCCCCGGCTACGCGACTGTACTTTATACAGTATTATTTTGTGGTAGGAGGTCGACGGATTTTAAAGGGGTCTGTCGCTTTAGAATTCGCTCTTTCTCTCTCGCTCTCTCCGTCTCTCTCTCTGTCTCTCTCTCTCTGTTGCTCTTTTCGGAGAAAGTTATATAGAAGAAAAATTATTCAGAAGCGCCACCAGCTTTTAAAGGAGCACACAAGTAATTATCTTGTCAAAATTGCATTTTTCGAGATTCTTTGTCGAGATTCGCCCTGTCGAAACTTGATGTTTTCGAAATTTGATTTTTCGAAAACTTCAGCCCGCCACAATTGCATTTTTCTACATCTTTGAGATCAATTAATTTTTACAAAATGATATTTCGGCAAAATCAAATTTTCTAAAACGTGGAATTTCGACAAAGTGGCCTTCGAAAAATAACAATTTCGACAATTTTCTGACATTTTTAAACTTTGAATTCGCAATGTTTTCTAGTTTTTTTCCCATTTTATGAACATTTTTAAGGCTAGTTCGATGCCTGTATTTTTCCAAAGCATAACTAAACTGTTTAACTCTTTACGGGTATCAGCGCACATTTTTGGCATCACTACCTCCGCCCCGTAACCTTTTCCGGTATGGTACAGGGAAGGGCATGGTATAAAGAATGGCGATACGATAGGGGGATCCAGTTTGAGGCTGGGGGCGGGGAGCTACACTCCTTTCCTGTTGACGACCATTTCGGAAGCTCCACAACACCCCGGCCCGGGTTTGAGGCTTATGCAAATCCCGAGCCTCGGCAACAGCGCGGATTATTTTTGCGCTCCATTCCGCCTGCCGGTCTGCAAATCAGCGTGAAATCGATACTGTCTGGGCTACAGATTGCGGTGGCTGGCCAGAGTATCACCATTCAATTTTCCTAAATTGTCTTTGATATTTAAGCCAACCAATTATTTTTATTATGCTTGTTAAGGGTAGGCATAGGAGGTTGGATTGGAGCTCGATCTGTTTGACATCGAACAAACGATGTTTTTAAAGCGACTAGTCGGCCCAAGAATTTGACTTACCGATCCCGACTTTGATTAGGAAACGTCATCATACCGACAGCCAAATACCGGTTGGGCTATCGGTATTTTGACCTGTCGGGATTTTGGCTGCCGGCATTTTCACCGTCGGGATTTGTAGCTATCGAGATTTTTACTGTCGGGCTTTTATCCAGAATTCTGGTTGTCGGAATTCTTGTTGTCCGGGTTCTGGTTGTCGGCATTTTGGCTGACCTCTGTTTTCGGTGACTGCATTTTGGCTATGCTCTCTCTCACTCTCTCGCTCTACTGTCGCTCTCACTCTCTCTTTAACTCGATCTCTCTGTCTCTCGCTTTATCTCTGTCTCGCTCTCTCTCTCTCTCTCTTCTTCTCTCTCTCTCTCTCTCTCTGGCTCTCTCTCTCAAGCTAATCCGCTCGCAAAAAACCCTCGAGTCTTTTTGTCGAGACTTAGTCTATTTCGGGAGTCCATTCTCACGCTTTCAAGCCCCTTTAAACCTGCGATTTTACATTGCGGATGTAGTAGTAGCAATCCAGGCTTTCTGCCACTGCTGCCCCGGTGGTTTTCCGGGGCTTATCTCCCCCGTAAGCCGAGATAAGCGAGTTGTGGTTGTAAAAACTCCCAGGCTCTGGGAATTTCGGACGTACCTCCGTGGGGACGTAGCAGAGGAAAGGATTAGGGGTGTATTCCGCTTTGCAGATAAATGTCTTGTTGCGGATATCAGGAGCGAGAGAGAGTGAGAGAGAGCGAGAGAGAGAGAGAGGAGAGAGAGAAAACGAGGGAGAGCGAGAGAGAGAGCGAGAGTGTGAGGGATTTCCTTCGGATTCTGCCCTTTTTGTGTTGCTTCAATGTTCTGCACCCATACATCAGTTTGCCACCTGGCCGCACTACCCCGCCGAGAATTTATGACCCCCCCCCCCCAACCTGGGGGCGATTGTTTTGAGCCGCCACTACTATATTATACAAGTTTTCTTTTCGCACCCCTCAAGTTTTTATTTTGTACGAACCAAAAACCCAAAACTTGTCCGTCTCCAAATGCATACTCAGTGTGGTGCGATACACAGGTTTAATTTAAAATATTTATTCGCATATTCGCATATAATCTCAAAAAAAATACAACGAAGGGTATGTTCAAGGATTCGGTCAAGAATTGCACTGCTTCAGATGAGATTTAACGCTGTTGCTAGTTGCATCGTAATAAAAAGATATTTCGAGGATTTTCTTGGCTCCACTTGCATCATCTACGCCGTCTTTCGATGGCTTGACCCGGTGGTCGCTAGTTTCGTCGATGGTCGACTGTTCACTGAAGGAACGGTGGCTATTCCGCTTAATATGACGTACGAGATTGGAGTTGGTAGAAAATAACTTGTCGCATTGGAAACAACGAAAACTGGGACGCTGTGCAGAACTCATCGTAAAAGAATGAGACCGAATCGTTGAACTACTCCTCCTTATATAGATCCTCCCGGCATAGGCCAGAGGCAGAGAACAGTTAAAACGGGATTTCATAAAGAAAATAACAAACAAATCATCGATGTGATGAACAAATTTCAATACATCATAGAAAGGCATTCCAGCACACATTTTTGACAGGAAAATGATACAGAAAGCGCCACAAGTCCTCGTTCGGAAGGCCTGGCACTGCTTTCGGCTTGAGATGACAGTTTTAAAATGGTCAGTCAACCATTTTTTAATTTCCCCTCGCGGCTCGTCTCCAAGCGGGTCGAAATAGAATACAGTATCCCCTTGGGTGAAGAAGGCAACCCAATGCTTTCCGGGTTGGGATATCTTGTCGGTGTTGACGCAAAAGGCCGTCTTCGAAGGGCGTGTAGGTAGTGTGTCTGCAGCGTATGTACCTTGGTAGAATAGGCGCGTCAAGGGGTCCATCATCAGAATTGCGTCGATTTCAAAGTTGTTCATGTTATAGTGTAAGCGTTTGGGCTTGACGGGCGTGGTCCAGCGTCAATTTATCCATTAGCTCGGCGTGTACGACAACCATCAGTCCACCTTTGGGCACCGGCTGGCTCAACTCGAGGTCCAAAGTGCATTGCCCTGCAACGGCCATGTCGAAGCTGTCAACACCGCCATCAGCATCCGGTAGAAGTTCGAATACCTGGACGCAACGAGAGTCTGAAAACATTGTATGTCCAATACCATTTGTTAGATTACTGCCGGTCATACCGCAACCTTCCAGCATTTGCGTATAGGCCTCAGTACAACCCAAGCCACCCTTATCCCAAACCAAATTCCACGGCTTATGTGGTACAGCCTGCCCAGCAAAACGAATACTCAGGTTTTTGATATGGTTATGATGGAAACGCCATGGATCGGTCTTGTACGAACCTACAAACCCCTCGTTCTTTACGAGTCCCACAAAAATACGCCGAGGGATCTGGTTGGAGTTAAAGAGTTGCATCTCAGGAAGCTTCAATACACCTTCGGGCATGTAAAAACTTTAGTCTGATAACTACGCATAGGATAGCTAGCCTTTTTTCCACTACTCAATTGTCGTTCAATGGCGGCAACCGCCGAGGGATACAGTTGGTATTCGGCCACAACAAGTCGAATGTCATCAATCACCAAGCGCCATGTTTCCTTCGTGGAATCATACCCGCGGATCAAGAACTTATCGCTTTGTCGGTGCAGGGTGATCTGGATATCGGTGTTGTTCAACATTAACTTATTTGAGCTACAAATGTTCAAATCAAGGGACTGTTCACCTGCACGGACCTCCCTTCATGAAAAGAACACTCATATTCTCAAAACCATCGTTGGTCTTGTGCTCGGCACCGTTATCGCCAGCATCGTAGAGTTGGGGGTGACCATAATTAAATTGCTTGACGTTCCTGTCCGTCATGAATTCCGCGTTAATGAAGGCGCGATATGGATGCTAAATCTCCAGAATTTTCAATTTGCGTACCGCCAATGCTAACAGTGGCTTGTTTCCAGAGGCACGGGCCGCAAACTGTATAGGTGCGCACCGCTCCTTAAAAGTTATTTTCCCGTCACCATCGACGTCTGAATGTGGGTAGCCATCCCCTTCGTCGACTAAACGCAAAGTCATTGTGACATAGGAACGCGCTAGACTAATGAAATGCGGCTCTTTCATTATGCGGAAAGTATAGGGACCGGTCTGATTTAGACTACTATTTTCTGGGGCAATACTCCTAAAACGCATAGACTGGATGCCTACTACATGTTGAATGGGGTCAAGGGCAATTTCTTTGGAAAAGAAGCTCAGGGTTGCTTTCCAATGCCTTTACTGCGGACATTTTTAGGAGGTATAATTGTAAAAATGGTTGCCGTTCGTTTTTCTACCTCTTTTTATAGCCCTCGCTGGCTTCCCTGTCTTTAATAAATTTTCGATGGGAGGTCCTAAAGGTAATTTAGTGGGGAGCAGGGGTGGGGACACTATTGTTTTACAGGCAGTAAAAATTTACTATTGCGAAAAAGGCGTCAAAGCCCCTCCACCCTTTTGCGTCTTAATGGCTACATTTTGCTTGGATTCGCTAAGAGTTCCAAACAATTTCATTAGGGTCCAATGAGATGATGGTTGGAAAGGGGCTTATCGCAGGGTGAAATGAAGGATATTGCAACGCTTAATATAGTCTTTTGAAATGGAGAAGTGCAACTGATTTCCCGATATTCATGGACACCTCGTGACCGTTGTCGTCGGTTATATACAGTTTAATGGAATTGAAACGACCCTGTTTCACACGATGGTACACTGGTGGGTTAAAGTTTTTGTGGAAACATCTCCCGGTAATGTGTCGTTTGGGATACTACGTAAGAGCTCCAAAAATTCACCCCCTACCAGATGAGGGTCTGCCAAATTACAAAAAACGCGCAAGTTTCTAGTGTTGAAGCTAAGATCGGGCAAATATTTTGCGGTTTGAAACCCGCTCAAGGTATCACTTTCGAAACCTAGCATACGCCAGATTAAAGGGGGCAAAATAATTTTGGAAACCCGGCTGGGGTCAATGTTAACCGTAAAGCGCATTTTGTTCTCGTCATATTCGAAGCAAACTCCACGATTTTCATAGGCGGCATTTTTCAACTCATAGGAAAAACTATCGCTAAAATTCTGCAATGCAACCACCGGGATTTCTTCTACCAAAGGTTCGGTCCAACGTCTCTACCTGGTCATCCCCGGTGAAATAGACGCTGAGCACATCAGGTCGAGCCACTTTCCTAAACTCTGGCTGAAAAACCACAGTTTCGGGGGTCGCTGCTGGTGTCCACGAGGTGAAGGTTTTCTCCTCATTTGAAGCATCAAAATTTGAGTCTCCGCCTGCACCAGACTCCACAGGGATTTCTGCTGCTACCTGCCCACCGGGGAACCCTCTGCTGTCACCGGACTACCCATTGGGAAGCCCTCTGCTGTCGCCGGACTGCCTACCGGGGAGCCCTCTGCTGTCACCGGACTGCCCAAGGGGGAGCCCTCTGCTGTCACCGGGCTGCCCACAAGACTTCCTACAGTTGGGGTTTTTGCTTCCTCTACCGGCTTCTCCTCTACCGACTTCTCCTCTACTGGCTTCTCCTCTACTGGATTGACCGCTACTGGCTTCTCCTCTACTGGCTTGACCTCTGCTGGCTTTCCCTCTGCTGGCCTATCCTCTGCTGGCGTATCCTCTGCCAACTCTACTGGCTTAACCACTGCTAGCTTTTCGTCAACTGGTTTTTCCCCTGCTGGCTTTTCTCCTGCTATGGCTTCACTCTCTTCAGGTTCATTGTGAGGCACTTCACTACCATCTAAAGGTAGAGATGTGAAGACCTTCTTATCCCCCGAAGCGTCAAAGTTGGGAGGCAGATCATCGGGAGTCGACCTACGTTTCCTGGTTTTACCAAATATCGAATTGAGTGCATTGGCCAGACGCGTTGGTTTCAGATAGTTTCCAGCAGGCAGGTAAAAATTACTTGCCTGTCCTTGACCATCAAAAACTTTCAAGGGTTGATTTTCGGGTACCTGGTCAACAGGACCAATCCCCGTCATTTCAACCAGCGCACAAGCCCATTGACTTTGCTGCGCACCGCCTTCCTGCAGGTTCAATTCTTTTGCCAAATGGTTAGTCAAAAAAGGGCTCCTTTCACCCGAAGGGCCAACAACAGTCACATAAAAATCGTCACTCATGCTTAGTCTACCGGAAAACAAAATATCCAACCCTTTTTATATGCCTGTTATTCAAGGGGCGCAAGACTTCCCTTCCCATCTTCAGAGACAATATCTGCTAGTCGTACCCACCTGTTAAAAACATTTGAATAGCCTCGATATTGAACCAACCCATAACGAACCCCTGAACAGTCTTACGCCTCAAAATTCCCGTGACCCCAAACAACGTTGGACGATTAATTTTTACCAATTCCTCTTTATAAAATACACCCTCAATATCTTCACCGTTTAAATCCTGGAGGTAGTAGGTTGGTGCCCCGAACCCGGTGTGCGATTTAATTGTTTTAACAACAAAACCTCGTCCTTATGGGTCCCTTCGTAGCTTTTACGAAAAACCTTATCCTGAAGTTTGATAACTACAAAGTCACCAACGTTCAACATTGGGTCAGGTTTTCGCTTACGCTTCACCACGACAATTGGAAAACGGTTTTCCTTTGTAATCTCGTCAGGGCGAAGACCATTTAGCGCGCTAGTTGGGGTCGCATTAATACCGGCAACAACAGATTCAACCACATCCACCCAATTGTAAGTGTCCCGTTCGGTAAAGTAGGCATACAGACGTTCTTTTATGGATCTAATTTTCCTCTCAGCAGGGGCACTTTTGGATTGTCCATTTGTAAAAATTTGCACAATTTCACGGTCCTTACAAAAAGCCTTCATTGATGCGCCGACAAACTCCCTTACCCCGGTCCGTCGTTAGAAAATAGGGGGGATTCCCAATCTCCTTACAAATTTCACTATAGCGCTCTTTTACCTCTTCACATTTCTTAGTCAGTAAGGGCTTAACGTAGGTCATTCGCGAAAATAAATCCACCACAACCAGCAGGTACCTAAAGTCTCTATTGAACTTTTTTAACTTCTGAAAATCCCCCAAGTCGGCACAATGGTGACTATTGAAACTGCTACCAACAAACTTTTTCTGAGGAAAACGGCGGGCAGAATTTCTATGCAAAAAGTAGGACCTTTTGCCCTGTAGATAGGCGTCTATGCTAGCTTTGGGGATACCGGCTGCGCGCCCCGCCTTGAGAAGGTTGGACCTTGAAGTGAAAGCTATAGGGGAACGGAGGTTCGTAAAAAGTCTATCCAGTTTAGTTCTTGTAGATTTTGACACGGAAACGGCCATTGCCATGTTGCTTCTTTTCGGCAAGTCTACGCGCGCGGGTTTTAATAGGTGAAAACACAGGTTGTTCAAGTGGGAGTTTTTTGCAAGGTTTCTCGCCCTTTGTAGGTTGTTCAAGGTTTTTGCAAGGTTTCTCGCCCTTTGTAGGTTGTTCAAGGTTTTTGCAAGGCCCCTTTTTAAATGCTACTTTCACTGCATCCATGTCGCGAATTTCGGCCACTAGCGAAGTCAGAGTGTTTAGTAAACCCGAGTATAGTCGCATTTTCAAGTCATCGGGCAAACTACTGTGCAAAAGCTCGCGCATTTTGGCCTCGGTTTGTTGGGCTTCTACAACATTTTGCTGTCTCGGGGTGTCCATGTAGCCATCCCCTTGCAAGGGGACTAACATCATCTTTTTAAACGTTGGCTTTGCCATTGCAAAAACTAACCAGCGGCACCAGGAATGCCCTTATAGCCTCAAAATTTTTAGACAGACTTTCCCGGGCCTTCTCAAACTGCCTTATTTTGGATAGATTTTTGACAATTTCAAAGTAGGGTTGCAACCTTTTGACTTCGTATTTGAACAGAGGAATAGTCCCCCGCACGATATTAGCCAGCAGCTCAACCAAAACCTTAATTTCAACGTTTTTAGCCTTTTTCAAGAGTAGGCGGGGGTTCTTGCTAGTGGAGAGGCGATTTAGAAAATGGGAACAGTTCATTGAAACTAAGGGGGCAAGTAAAAAATTTGATTTATATCCTCTGGGAAAATGCTGGTCACCAGCCGGTGGTCCAAGTTTTCCAAACTCGCGTGACAATTAATGACCAAATAACCGTAGGGGTGCGCGGTAGCTGAACGGTAACTATCCCAAAAGTAGGAAAATTGGGTGGGGAAGCATTGCATACCAATTTGTCTGGCCTGCAGCTGGTCAGACACTGACCTCAGCAAAACAATGTAATTGGCATTTATCCGCGCAGTTCGCCTACTGCGAAAAGCGTCTTGGCTCAAAAAGATTAGCGTACAGTTTTGGTGGTGGGTAACTTTACTGGTGAGCCTAGCCATCAACCCCTCACTCATTTCAGTCATGAGGTCGTCAATAACTAAAATACAATTTCTCAAACCCTTCACGACCTCCTCGGTCGGGGCACCCTCAATAATTTCTAAACCTTTTATCCCATGGACCTTTTCACGAAAGCTTTGAGTATTCGACCCCGTAAAGTACAAAATTTTTCTAATATCTTTGGCATTTTCTAACAAATTTTCGTAATTTCGCAACAATTTCAAAGTCCAGGTTGTTTTACCGCCTAGACTCTGACAAAAAGTAAAAATTGAACACGGGTGTTTGAACTTGAATGACTCCATTATCTAAAAACTACCGTTTTCTTTTGCTTTTAACCGGCCCGGAGGGAGGGGAGGGCCCTGGCGGGAAGGCCCTAGCGGGAAGGCCCTAGCGGGAAGGCCCTAGCGGGAGGAAAGGCCCTGGCGGGAGGAAGGCCCTAGCGGGAGGAAAGGCCCTGGCGGGAGGAAGGCCCTGGCGGGAGGAAGGCCCTGACGGGAGGGCCCTCCGGGAGGGGGGAGCCCCCGCGTCCCTTCCCCCAGCCCCCCAAACCCCCAAACCCCCAAACCCCCCCCCCCCCCACCTCCAAAGTAGTCAGTCGTAAAGGTAACCGAAAGGCAGTACTGAACCATCTGGTAAGATTTGTCCCCCTGTTAGTCGCGCAACGTATTTCTTATTTTGCACTGAAGTGCCCACCTCACCAAAACGCTTCTTAACTTGGGGGCCTGAAAAGATTAAGGGGTCTTCAATGTTGCCGCGAAGCAGATTCTCGACTTGTTTCTCCATATTCTGGAAGGTCGCAATGTCCTTATTGCTAGAATTTTGCGTGATCCCGCGCAGTTTTACTGTTTCAAAAGTGTCGATAATCTTGCCTTGGGAATCGTATTTTGATAGCCGCAAGCAGTACTGTTTGCTACCCCCACTCACAAAATTTGTAATTCTATAACCATCGCCTACCTCATTCTTCAGTTGACCCAGGTTTTCGCCAGCATTCCTTCTCAGAAATTCCATGTGTTTGGGATCATCATCGCGAGCAATCCATACGCAAGAGTCGCTATCCGAATACAACACCTAAATTTGGTTTCGTTCGTCTTGGTGATTTGCACTAACCCGATCGTATCCAATCTCGAGCAGCCATTTGGTTAATCGGATCCTGCCATAGGAAGTCGTTAAGCAAGCAATAGGGAGACTACCTAAAAGAGTTTTATTCAGTTCTTGTGCGTTTTGACTTACCGTATGGCGCAGAATGAATCCAATCCTGCTTCTTCCGATAGGTGAATAGCCAAATAGGGGAGTCGCCGGCTTCAAAAATCTTGTCGTACGTTATTTGGAGGGTAGGATCATTCCAAACTTGTTCCACTGCTTGCACTGTATTCGCAAAGGCAACTGAGGAACGATCGGCTTTCAGTCCACAACGCCCCCACTAAAAAGGAAGATTAGTCTGTTCTTGCAAATTGGGACTTACCAAATTGACGAGGCAGGCCTTTGCGAGGAAACGTTTGCCCTTATTCGGCATATCAAGCGCAGCTGGATCCAGTTCAATTCCATGGTTGGCTTTGAAATCGGTGAGGAAATGGTCTCGTTGTGCGGGAGTCTGACATGTGTCCGGCCATCCGCTCGCTTCGTACTTTAGCTTCAAAAAAAGACGCATATAGCCTGAAAAGAGACCATTTTCGGGAATTACCTTCCAATCCGGGTCCGAGTCTGTCCATTTCGACCAGTGCCAAACCTCGAAAACCTCCAAAATCTCGTACCCGTATTCGAGGGCTAGTTCCAACTCAAACGAAGTCCATATGTCTCTGATTTTACGTTGATTTACCGTATGCGCGCAGACTTTGTAGCCGATATTTTTCCCATTTTCGCAGCGCTCCTTCATACAGGCTCGACAAAGCGTATAAATCATTTGCTGCTTGTAGCTAATCGGCAAGATTGCAATTTTCAAATTACGTGGTGGCAAAACTGTACAAAAATACATACCCTTGTAGCTTAGCTTACCCATTATCACCGTGTTATCCGGTGGAAAGATGACTTCCGGTTCCCCGATCGGAAACGGGCAGAAAGCTCCAACCGCCGCGTAAAGCGAAACTGCATCGTAGTAGTGGATAAATTCCCCTTCTTTTAAATGTGCACGCATGTGAAAGGTTTGAGTTCGACCCCCTCGAAAACCGTTACGCGGTATCAAGTTGCCAACAAAATCATACCTCTTGATAAATTCGGCCATCTCCTTGTTTTCTCGACACATTTGCTTAATCTCGCATTCCCACACCATTACGACATCAAAGCCTGAGTCCTCGAGCTCGTCCTTCCGCGCCACCGTGTAGTCGTACAGCTCCTCCATTGTTTTTCCAGACATGGGACACTTCAAACTGCGGTCCGTGATGCATGGACATCCGTGAAATACACAGCCATTGACCTCGTAGGCGATTCGCGTGCCATCGTCGAGTTGTCGATACCCATCAAGTTTAAACTTACGGCCCGATTTCACTGTCACTGTTTTCTCCCCGCCAAAAGTAGCCCTCTGGATCTGAATATTTTGCTGTTTTTCCACCCATGCCAGGTATTTTTGGCTAATTGCCGACACAAAGTGTGGAGAGAGTCCATATTCGGGGATTACTGCAATAGGGTATTCAGGATTGTGGAAATTGTAGCGAAAGGTTTTAAGGCAGGTAGATGCTAAGGTAATCTCCTCTTGCAATGGATCAAAACCTGCATTTTCGATAAAAAATTTGCGATACTTCATCATGCCCATCATCAATACTAGGCTATCATTTTTCGAATACTCCTTGAATTCGTCCTCCCAGAAAAAAAGGGATCCCATTTTCCTTTTTCGCATTTAAAAACAAGCGCAGTTCCTGAACCTGTTTCACCGACATCGTGTCGGCACCAAAATATTTCGCCTCCGGCCATTCGTTGGATTTTTTATGCGCTGCGGTAAGGAATAATGGATAAAAACCCTTCTTTTCGGGCAGGTCAAAGCAAGCAGCATATTGGCTGAGGGGGATGGAAGCAAAATTTCGACTATCCAAAAACTTTATCCTATTAATCAGAGACTCTTGCTTAGTCGGGGTATTCTCGGGTGTCCATTCGACGTTTCCTAACGAGCCTTTCTTCAAATTCTTAATAAACTGCTTTCTAGGTCTCACAAAGTCCATGCTCAATATTTTCTGGCCATTAAAAATTACTTGGGGGATTATTCCTAGTTTGATGCAATGTTTGAGGACAAAATGGGTGTCGTAAGATCCGCCATTCTGCGCAATGCAGGTATAACGGTCATTTTTGTGATCAAAAAGGAGGAAACGACAGAAACGTTCAATAAGCTCTTCCGGGTGTTTTCCGGGGATGGGTTCCCAAATTTGCACGCCTAGCGGCCCGCATTGGGGACAAACATAGTCGCGCGGGGCATTACACTTACTTTCTATATTTGTTGGAAGGAGGTCCTTTGGCGCACATAGGTTGCAAACTTTAATAAAGGAAATTAGATTCACAGTATGCCTAGGTAACCAGATGATATCCCCATTCTCATTATGCCTAACACAGTCTGTCTCAAAATCAAAACAGAGAAAGCGGAAGGTGCCGGCTTTAGTGAGGGATTGCATACGTTTTGCATCCTCGACGGGTAGCCAGGAACATTTGTGAGAAAGGGGTCTATCCGTTCGACATTTGCCACAATATTTTGTAAAGCATTCATGCGTTTTCAAAAGATTTTTCCGCATCTCCTCCGAGCAGGAAATGCATTTATGAATGCGCGAAGTACACTTGTTTTTTCTTAGATGGTTCTCAAAGCATTGGGAATTTGGGAAGGTTCGCTTGCAGGTTAGACATGAAATTTGTTCTACGACTATGACTGAGCACGTCCTATCTACTTTCTGGCAGTATGAGCAAGCCATTCGGCAACGGGTATGCGTGGTGCTATTGCTTTTGAGAACTCCACATCTTTTGCAACAAAATTCTAAGCGTGGACGTTCTCGACCATTAAAAAGTTGTTGGGCTGTGAAAAAGGCAGTGTAGTGATTCTCAGAATAGAGGATTTTTAAGAGAGGTTCTTTGGAATGGGTTGGGGAAAAGATCATTGCGCCTTTATTGTCATAGACAGCTATCCTATATTTCCCGTTCAAGGCTCTCTGTATAGTCACTACTTCCCGTAACGACATGGGTTTGGCATCCTTGGGACAAAAATTTGGGAAGCTTTTTGCGGCAAGTTCTAGCCCTAAAAGATTGGCATGTTCCCAACTAACACAGATCCGGTCGAGTTCCTTTTTAAGTTTTTCGTAACTACCATTTGTATAGCACTTCGGATCTCGGGTGGGAAGCATTTCTAAATCTGCGTTTACAATTGAGCGTGCAAGCGCCCGTAGAAGACATAGATTATCTGGTATGGGGGGCTCGCCTTGCAAAATATTTGTCTTATCCCGTCTGCCACCCCCCGCTAAGGCTGGTTTAATGTTCACAACGATCCTCATATTCTCGTCTAAAGTGTAATGTTCATTGCTTTGCGCCATTTTTTCAAAAATACCAAAGAGGGCATGGCTATCGTTCATATCACGTGTTCTAGGGGGAAGATAACATCCTTTCTTACCGGCCTCTTTCAGAGATTTATGCTCTAACGCGACAGAAAACTCTACGGTATCTATATCCTCGCCGGTTTCGGTCACATAGTCCTTCAAAATGGTGTTCAAAGCTATTTGGAAGGTTTGTTCTAGGAATCCTAACTCTATTTTGCCAGCTAATTTCTCCCAAGTGATGACATTTTCATAGGTATAAGCATTCAATTTCTCATGAAACTTTTTTAGAAGGCCTGCATTGTCAAAACAGTTAAGTTCATTGTCAGAATAAGTCCTATCCGGTTCCCTGGGTGTCAAAGACCATTTTCCCCCAAGGCCAACCTGAATTTCCGGATCTTCCAGTTGTTGAGGTGGTGTAGGAGACGGGGAAGGGCTGTAGTCTACCAATCTTCGAGTAAATTCAGGGGATCTCGAACGTTTCATTGGGTAAAACTGTAAAAACGCTTCAAACAAGGTAAAAAGAGAGCGCGAAAAGCGCGTAAGGTAAAGCAAGATAAAGGAAACGCTAAAATCGCGTAAAGAAAAAGTAAAAAAACTGTAGCTCTGGAATAGGTAGCTCTGAAAAATCCGGAGGATCACAGAATGGGTTCCCGCACTGTGGGGCTGTTTTTATACAGGGCTAGCTGTCACTCCTTAGGCTGACCTTAAGGATTCGTCAACCGCTCGTTAACCGCTCGTCAACCGCTCGTCAAGCGCTCGTTACGCGCTTGTCAAGGTTTGGGGGCGCGAGCCTCCCCAATCGGTGCGAGTTCACTTTTCAAAGTTGTCACTCCACTTTGACCTAGTTTCCGGGTATATTTACGGGGGAGCCTCCCCAGTCGTTGCCACTTTTTTCAAGGCTGGCATTTACAAAATAAAACCTTGAGGGGTGCGAAAAGAAAACTTGTATAATATAGTAGTGCCGCCGTAGCGGGTGTGGAGTTTGAGCCTTTTTGCAGATTTCCACTCGGGCTAACGAATGGGGGATCAAAAGGGCCTGTCGGCATTTTAGCTGTCCGGGTTCGCGCTGTCGGCATTTTTGCTGTCGGGATTTTGACTGTCGACGCTTTGGCTGTCCGAATTTGGGCTGTCCGCATTTTTGCTGTCGGCCTTTTGGCTGTCTGGATGCTGGCTTACCCCAACGTGCACGCTCGCACTTGCATCGCGTAATCGACTAAAACCCGCTTAAAACAGAAATCTGCGCGTGCGCGTTGCGTGTCGCGGGCATGGCAAATCGATGGCGCATCCATGGCAAACAAAACTCATCAACTCCCATTCAATTTGCATCTACATTTCAAAACTTTAAAATTTACAAAATGGCCATCTTTTAGATTTTTTTCTGCTTTTAAAGGGTTTAATCAGCCAGTCTAGTCGAACTTCCCATAAGAAAATCACTATAAAACTAGATTATGGGTTTTCTATGGAAAATTTTGATTTTATCCTATTAATGCGCCGAATTTTAGCTTTTTAGCTTTGGCTTTTTTTAGCATTTTTATAGTTTTAGTTTCGTAACTGAATTTTCAGGGGATTTTTTGGTTTTTGCCAGTTTTTCACTAACGATGGGGCCGTTCCCGGCGAGTGAGAGAGAGCTATAGAGAGAAAAAGAGAGAGACACAGAGAGGGAGAGAGAGAGAGAGAGCGAGAGAGAGAGAGAGAGAGAGAGAGAGAGAGAGAGAGAGGGAGAGAGGGAGAGAGATAGGCAAAGTCTACCCATTGGGTTGGGTCGTACCCCGCACGCACCGGCAGCTCCACTAACAACCTGATGCTCGATAGACTGTCCCTCCCCGCAGCGCGCGCAGGCCACTTTTTGACCACATCCCGGGACGCGGGCGGATAATTTGGGCTCGAGCCCCACCAACTCGTCGGCACTGCCCCGGCCCGCTCGGCAACCAGACAAATTGTGTGAGCACAGTGCGTTTTTGCGAAGCAGTGAATTCTCGCTGACGTTCTGACATCATTTCCGGACTCGGTGCGGTTTTTGTGTAAAAATGAAAACATAAAAATCTTATTTGTATTTTTGCCTAGACTTTCCGGTTCCTTTAAAGGGTGCGAAAGGCCTCAAAATAGATTTTTCAAGGCCGCGAATCGCGACACGTACGCCGCGAAGTCGCCGCCAAGCGCTTTTAATCCATTACGCAACAGAATGGGCGTACTATCGGGATGCCCTATTGGGTCCCTTAAAGCGACCGAAAAGCTATACCTATGGTTTCGTTCTTTGCAGTTATTCTTAAACCGCGATACGCAGCGCGCCCGCTACGTAAAGGCCGTAATTCATCCTACCTTATATAATTTGGTCGCGTATCTTTGTCTGTGTGTGTGTGTGCGGAGGTCAGTT